CCTGAGTTTAGGGACGACAGGGATCTCGTCATGGCACTGAGTGCTGGTGGGCATAGTGGGTTGTTGAATGACAGCTCGACACCCCACCTGGAGAACTCAGGGCACACGATATTCAATGACCCGTTCTTCATCGTGGAGACAGTCTGTATTGTTTGGTTTTCCTTTGAGTTTGTGGTCCGCTGCTTTGCTTGTCCCAGCCAAGCACTCTTCTTCAAAAACATCATGAACATCATTGACATTGTTTCCATTTTGCCTTACTTTATCACATTGGGCACTGATCTGGCCCAGCAACAGGGGGCTGGCAATGGGCAGCAGCAGCAGGCCATGTCCTTTGCCATCCTCAGGATCATCCGTCTGGTCCGAGTATTCCGGATCTTCAAACTCTCCAGGCACTCCAAAGGCCTGCAGATCCTGGGCCACACCCTCAGAGCCAGCATGCGGGAATTGGGCCTTCTGATCTTCTTCCTTTTCATTGGGGTCATCCTATTTTCCAGTGCTGTGTATTTTGCAGAAGCGGATGAACCTACTACCAATTTCCAAAGCATCCCAGATGCATTTTGGTGGGCTGTGGTGACCATGACAACTGTGGGCTATGGGGACATGAAGCCCATCACTTTGGGGGGCAAGATAGTAGGGTCCCTGTGTGCCATTGCAGGTGTCTTAACCATTGCTTTACCAGTGCCAGTGATTGTCTCTAACTTTAACTATTTCTACCACAGAGAGACTGAAAATGAGGAGCAGACACAGCTAACACAGAATGCAGTCAGTTGCCCATACCTCCCTTCCAATTTGCTGAAGAAATTTCGGAGCTCTACTTCTTCTTCCCTGGGGGACAAGTCAGAGTATCTAGAGATGGAAGAAGGAGTTAAGGAGTCTCTATGTGCAAAGGCGAAGTGTCAGGGAAAGGGGGATGACAGTGAGACAGATAAAAACAACTGTTCTAACGTGAAGGCTGTGGAGACTGATGTGTGAATCTTTCTCTCCACTTGACACTCCCCTCCTCGCCCCAGCATCTCCAAATATATTTATGCATAGAGAGTGCAGTTATGAAAATGAAATATGCAAATGAGTCCAATGCATACAGTAGTACGCCATTTAATGGTTATACATGACATAATTGTTACTAAACTTGTATCACATATCAAATAAATGATACATCTTGGAGAAGAGGGAGGCTTAAATAGGAGCAAATCTATCTTTATATTTTTTATTAGAATGCAAAAATTTTGCACATTAACTGGAAAAGATGTTAACAGTGAAGACGGTTCCATGGAGAGAATGTGCGTGTATGTGTGTGCGTGTGTGTAATTGTCAACGTTGTTAGTAACTGTGCGGTGATGGGAAAAGTTGGCATTTTGAAGTATTTACTAGGGAAGAGTTAATGAATTCGAGCAGTCATTTATCAGTGCTTTAATAGCATCTCATATGTCTTTGGATTTCATAGTTACTGTTTTTTAAAAATTGTAAGGATTACTGTGTAGAAAAAAAGGAAGTAAATTATTTAATAGAATATGGGTCACAATTTTATCTTGGATTTAATTAAAGTTTATTTTTAACTGGAAATTAACTTTTAAAAAGGCCACAGGGCCCTTTAGAAATCGATTATATTTTGTTATTAATTTTGGGAAGCTCTGAAAGCAAATGCCTAACATTACTGAAGAAATGAAATCAGAGGAGATGTAACAAGTTTTGTTTGCAGATAACAGGACTGGGTTGCTTTTTTCTTTTCCTTTGCACTATTTTATATGCTGGAGATTGAGAGAGACTTCATACTGTGAATGTTTACTAATGTAACATTTCAATGACAATCATTGGAAGAATGATTTCTTAGTCTTATTTTATTGTTCTCTTCATTTCTTTGTGTGACACTGATGGCCATGCAGATAACAGCCCATGACTCCTTCTTCTTTTAAAACCCAAATAACTGATCTGCAAAGGGACTACGAAGTAAAATTTAGCAACCGAATCTTTTGAAAGTGGTCTGTTAAAATGATGCTTCTGAAACCATACTATTTTAAATATTCTACTACCTTTTAAATCCAGAATAACTTAACCAAAGTTAATGCATGCACTGAAAGAATTCTTGAAGAAATAAGATATCCAGCAGCTACAGTGATTATGGCTTAAGATTTTTCTATTAAACGTGCAACATAAACACCAGATATTATTAAGTTTATTTCTTTGTGCAGCTACACAAGAGCAGGATGTGGGGATTCACCTCGAAACTTAGCATTCTATTTGCTAAAACGGATGTAAAAAAGAACTATGTCAAAACGTTTGTCAACGTCATCACCATCACTATATTTATCAAAAAGGTGTTTATGACACATATAACTGCATTTAACTCACCTCAAGGTGTTCTAGAATGTAAAGTAACAGATATAATGAGATGTGTTCGATTAAGTTGTAATGAGATATAAGTTAAGAAACTCAGAAGACGAAGGAGGCCTTATTCTCCAATGTTTCTTTAGGTTCTATTCTTTTAAAATGGTTGTGCTGAGCTTTGGCAAAAAATACTACATAAACTATCTCAGCACATAATGAACTCTGATAACTGTGAACTTAAAAAAAAAAAAAAAAAAGACTTACAATAGCCTCTCTCAAGCTTTTTTAACCCAGGCTATCCTTTGATAATTATATAAATGTTACCTTTCCCTTATTGACATTTGAAATTCAAAGCAAATTCAACTTAAGTTCAAAAACCAAAGCTACATAGTTCTCCTCACTCCTTCCCCACCACTTACAGAGAAACATCTCTCCAGAACTTCATTTAAAGAGTGAGAAGTAGCAAGGAGGGGAGTTGATTGAATGTACAGACCAAAGATCTCTAGTGGACAATGGTGAATTACAAAATAAGGGAATGATAACATATAATATGACTTCAGAGATTGCATTTTAATATATTTTGGATTTGGGACAAAAATGTAAGAAGCATTAAACTAGGAGTAAGGCTATTTGGGTCACCATTAATTTGGAAAAGTCACTTAACATCTCTGTGCCCTGAATTTCCTCACTAATAAAAAAGCATTTTTACATCACAGTATTGTCATGGAAACAAATGAGAACTTGGGAAAACATCTGAGTTACATATTAATGCCTGACATATCTAAATTTCTTAATCTTCCTCTGAGAGAAAATGGGATTTACAGCCCATAAGTTACATCTACTTTTTAAGAATATTGTGAAATTCATCGTAATTAACTTGGAGCGCCTTACAAGATGTTGCTTGCAGACAAGGTAGTTTATCACTGGATAGTTGCTGGAATTTCTTCTTTGGGGAAGATCCCAGACATGTTATGGTATAAAAAGCTGACTTTGTGGACAAGGTACCATCTATCTTATGCTATATCCAACTAGGTCAGGTTAGATCTTAAAATAGTTTAAAGGCTCTCCAGCATAGGATGTTTGTTGAACATTCTATAATAGAAACGGTTTGACTATGTTGCTTAGAAGGGAAAATGTTCTGTATTTGTTTCTCTGATACCTCCTTTTTAAATCTGAAAAGTTAAATTTAATTGATGATGCATGTTATAATTGATGGCTGTTGAGAATCCAGGAACTGTAATAGTTTTGGGAGCCCTGGTGGCACAGTGGTTAAGAGCTCAGCTGCTAAATAAAAGTTCGGCAGTTCCAATCCACCAGGCGTTCCTTGGAAACCCTATGGGGCAGTTCTACTCTGTCCTTAGGTTGCTATGAGTCGGAATCGACACAAAGGCAGTGGGTTTGGGGTTTTTTTTTTTTTTTTTTTGGTTTTAGGTCTTGACTAAAGGAGCTCTGGTGGCGCATTGGTGAAGAGCTCAGCCGCTAACCAAAAAGTTGGCGGTTGGAACTCACCAGCCACGCCGTGGCAGAAAGATGTGGCGGTTTGCTTCCATGTAGATTGCAGCCTTGGAAACCCCATGCAGCAGTTCTACTCTGTCCTATAGGAAACGACTTGATGGTAGTGGGTTTCAATTTTTGGTTTTAGGTCTTGATTCCACACTGAGAAGGAAGTATTTGGACCCTCAAGACGTGTGCATAGGGACACTTCTGTATGGAACACTTCTTTTATAGAGAGTGTATGAAAATAGGACCTCTGCTGTAGGTGTAAATTTATAACGTTTTCCCAAATCAAAGCAAGGCAAAATGCTTTAGGTTCATTGCAGTAACTGAATAGGAACCGTCTGTAAAACTTTTATACTGAGGAATATGCTTCCTGGGTTATTTGTAACAGATTTAAGAAACTATCTTCTGGAAGTCCACTATTTACACTTAGTTGTAAGATGAAGAAGAAGTTACCTTGTTTAGAGATTTGGGTTCTTGGGATTTGCAATCCTTTAATTAGTTGCTTTTCACATGATAATAAATGTTACCAAAAGCTCAACACATGAGGGTCATCCTTATCAGAATCTTTTCAAGGGTGGATGCATTGTTCTTTCTTGCAAATGCTTGAAAAGGAAACAGTTATGCATAACAATTACAGGGTGATGGGGAGGAGAGGCGGAATAAACAGTCCTTTTGATTTCTGTATAAGGGAGTTAGCTGGTGCTATGCGGGTGACTGCTGGCCTAGGAGTTGAAAGAGCTGGCATGTTGACCTTGGGCAAATCATTTCATATTAATTCTCGGTTGTCTTTTTTTTTTTTTTTTAATGTGTAAAAGCAGGCCATTGGGCTACATTGTCACTTGGTTCCTTCCATTGCCAGAAAGTACAGTAAAACCAGGAAGTACAGTAAAACCTGCAAAAGCCAGACCTATATAAGGTGGGAACCTGTTAGAGAAGGAAAATGCAAATATTTTCCACTAATAGAGAGTGAGGGAAAAGTAGTAAGCTGCACCCTGTCAAAGGTGGAAAACTTGCGAGACCCGGAAAACACAAGGCAGTCCTGTTGAGTTCTGGCTCTCACAGGTTTTACTGTATTAGACTAGATTGGTATTTTCAAAGTATCCCTCAAGTCATGCCAGCCTTGATTTTGTAGTTAATAAGAGCTAAATCATTTTTCAAATCTCCCCGTTAGGTTATCTGCTGAACCAGGAGTTTGAGTTTTTGGTATGCAAACTAAAAATATATTTGAAGCTATTTATACTAATGACTTCTAAAAGGAAGGGACTCATTTAATAAAAAAATAACTCCTCAGTCTCCAGTTGAATACATATGGTGAAAGTTGGTAAGTAAACATTTTGATTTCTTGTTTTGTTATAGTGCAGTCTTGTCAGTGAACAGAGTATTCCAACCTATGCTGGGAGATTCATTTTATGCCTACACATATACATGCAATATTTCACAAGTGCTACTGCTGCCCTTGTCAAATATGTTTTAAAACAGGATTGCTGAAGCTTTGTGACAATGTTTTTGCTAAGCATGTGTTGATATAGAACCCAATATATGATTAAGAAATATCTCAGGAAAATACCCTGTGAATTATGATATGTAGTTTTACATTTTTTAAAAAGTTAGCATAAGCCAACAGAAAATTTTTATTTTTAATCACAGTGGAATCATAAACAGTAGCACCCCTAACCTTCCAACAGAATCAGAAATGGTGTTCTCTATCGCTGTTAATTTTCAGGCTTTTGATGCTCTTTAGTGCTAACATTGCAGCTAATACTTGGTAAAATGGGAAATACACCTCAATTCAGTTTACATTTTTAAGTGATCATGTGGTGATGTGCTCATTGCATGATGCAGAGTGTAACTTCCCTTTTTAAATGTTTGTTTTTTTTTTTTTTATTGATACAGTTTAGAATGATTACGGGGTGTCATTCAGTGACAAAGGGGCCTGTTCCAGGAAATCTTCCTGACTCAAAAGTCATTCTGAATTCTGCAAGGGACATTTGGTGTGGACAAAAGGTACCTCTTGGTTTTCCTGCCCAACAAGAAAGCTGACTCAGAGCACTGGGTCTTCCAGACCTCTGTAACTGCTACAGGTTAAAAGATTTTGTAACATGGAAATCAGTATTTGAAAGAAGGTTGTTGGAGTAGTTGTTTTTCAGACTGAAGGAAGCAGAGCTATTTTTGTAGTAAATGGAATATGTACTTCTGAAATGTAAATTAAGATTAGGACTGTGATATGAGTTTTATTTCTGACTCGGTTTTCTGTTTCCATAGCCGTCCCAATTTCTTAGAGTATCTTCATAAAAGCGTGTTTATGCTTATCAGACCATATGGCCCAATTTGAGGTTCATAAAATATGTCATCTTATTTGAGTAAATAAATTAATCCTTAAATTAATAATTTATGGGCATAAATTCGGTGCTTTGAAAAAATAGCACATATTTAATGAACTGTGGCTCTAAGTGAGTCCCAAGCATCCCCCTCTTCAGGCCTGTGGGTTTATATACCAAACGGGATCAGAATAGATATATAATGCAAGTTATGTGCTAAATATGCAGACTTGCTGTCATCCTGAGAAACATATTCCCAAATTCACTGGGCCCAAGTTCTTTGTGTTTCTGGCCTGCAATTAAGCTTTAGATCCATTTGTTGTCATTGGTATTCTGGAAGAAGAATTTGTATCTAGAGTACCAGGAGCCGAATGATTTTCATAGTAGTTCTACAAACACAGTCAACTCTTGCATCCTGACCTGCAGATTATCTGTTTTGTAGATTATCCATGGCTAGTTTCTCACCTGAGGCTGGCTTTCCTCAGGCGCAGAACTGTTGTCTCCCATTAACCAGCATGTCCAGAAAATATATGCAAAAATGATTGAAAAAAAAAATACAGTACAAAGAAACAACAAAACATAGAAGCTAAGAAGCCAAGCAAAACCTAACTGTGAAGCCTGGTCCGTTGTTCAATGTGTCATGTACATGAGAACAAAATATGGAGGATTTAGGGGTAGCCTTTGTCATGGCTTCTCCCTGTTAGCACGGCTGTAACCAAGGGTTGACTTGTGGTGGATGGCATAAAGCAGAAATAAGTTACTAAAAGAATATACAAATTAACATTTTTTGTGAAATAGAAATGCCAACCCATCTTGACAGTGATCTTAATAGTTATTAGCGATAACTAGTAAATATAGAAGATATGCTGGTTTTTTTCCACTTACTGGTATTATGTGGAAATGTACTTGGATTGTTTTTTCCATGATTTTGTAGAACAGGGCCATATACTCAAAGCCAGAGTGCAGGAAGGCGTTTTTATATACAACTTCTTTAGCCATTGGCTATTGAGGAGTCAACTTTTTAAATCAGTCAAAGCAGTTAAATAAATAGCCCTTGTAGATGTTGACTAAAGCTGTGCCAACACTAAGCCAAAGCATTATATTTGTTTTAAAATAATTATATGAATATGTATACATAGATCAACATATAAATATATTATCATATTCTGCCCTTATTCTGGCAGAGGATGTATAAGCAAAATAAATGGCTTGAAGGCATTGAAAGAGACTTCTTGACGTGAATAGCAGTGTGTACTTTTCTTGTGTTTTGGAGAAATGATGAGATTTAAGGATTAAAAAACCATTCTTTACACTCTAAGTTGGATTTTTTTGGTGCCATATAGCCACAGTGGTATTAGAGTTAAGCTTGAGATATTCCATGGGGTATGGGTATATGGAGTTTTATTCCCAGGAAGAGTTAATTTTGTTTTATGGAAACTTGCAAAATGTTGATTTTATTTATTTTTATGCACATTATTTCCAACATATAAGGGATGCTTGTATAATGGAAACTAGACTATATGGCCCCCCATAGACCTACTTTGTGCTCTCTATAAATAGATTTACCTGAAGCCATTGTCTTTTTGTATTTTTGTTGGAGCTGCTGCCTGACTTGACTTCATTAATTCTTTTAGGTTCAATTGCTGCGTTAAAAAGTTTCATGTTACTGTTATTTTTGGTGAAAGTTCCGATATCTACTTAACTTTTGAGGTCACTTACATACAAAACCATAAAATAGTTGGAAAACCCCCTATCTCTTGAAGACCAGGGCTATATTGTCTGAACTCTCCATGATAGGGGTCACATTAGTTAACATGGAGGGTGAATGTTATTCTGTTTATTAACTTAATTCACTCATACCTGAATAGACTGATGATTCCCGTGGAGAACGCGAATGGTGTTGATAGTACCTGAGCAAGTCTTTTTTGTCCTCTCCATTAGTAGGGATCATGATCCAAATGAAGCTTTCATTTGCTATCAGGCAGAGTAGGAAATAATTAATGAAGCTTCCCCGGGGCAGAAACCTATCAAGAGGTGATGGACTCTCTAGAGAATGCTGTAGGATTTACGTTTATTTATTTATTTGCCGTTGGTATCATTTTTGGCATTGTTTTTGGGAGATGAATTTTAGTTTTAGGTTGATTTAACCAAATATTAAAATGGCTTTCAATAAGATAATAGAAATTATAAATTTTAAACTATCCTATTAGCCTGATGAATAGTTCTAGTTAAATATTTTAATAAATGAATATGCGATTTAGAGATTGCAATCTATATTTGGATTTGGAACCATTTATTTGGAGGGCTGTTTGTCTGATAAATAATGATTCATTTGTTCTGGTTTCTTGAGAGAGAAATGGAATCTCTTTTTCTTCACTTTTTCCTGACTGTTGCATATTGTATTTAAATTGGTATATTTCATATAAATATTTTATCTTTTAGCAAAATAGGTAAATAGCTTGGTTAAGAATTGAAAAATGGTGAGAGTGTTTGGTAGTCATTTTTGCAACATATGGTACTGATCAGTTTATAGGTTAATTTCAGTATATATGAAATACTACAGAGGGAAAAATGTATATATAGTGTATTAGAATCTAGACAGGGCAGGAATATTAGGAATAGGCTTTCCGCTGGATTCCTAAAAGTGTTCTCAGAGTTCTTGACCTGTTTCCTCCATATCTGATCCAGCCAATGAGAAGTTATTAAACTGCTTTCTTCCTGGAGTAGCAACAAAATATAAGCAGTGTCAGGGCCGTTTGGGGACAGGAGAGAGGTGGATGGGATAAAGTTTCCAGGGGCAAGGAGTTATGCCTAAATGAAGCCATTAATTTGATGACACAAATAGTTGGATCTGTCTAAAAACTGCTTCATTTGATAATTGTTGTTAGGTGCTATCAAGTCGATTTTGACTCATACTGACCCCACGTGAGGAGTAGAACTGCCCCATAGGGTTTTTTGGCTGTAATCTTTACGGAAGCAGATTGCCAGGTCTTTCTCTGGTGGAGTTACTGGGTGGATTGAAACAGCCAACCTGTTGGTTAGCAGCAGAGCACTTAACCATTTGTGCTACCAGCGCAAAAGTTAATGTTAACTATTAATTTTTGTTAATTCAGGGAAAGCAACCAAAAAACCAAACCTGTTGCCCTCGAGTCAATTCTGACTCATAGAGAATCCAGGCAAGTGATTTGATCACTTGGTGTGGATCCCCAATTTAGTAGGCATATGTATATATCGTTGTTGTTGTTAAGTGCTGTTAAGTCAGTTCTGACTCTTAGGGACCCTGTGTACAACAGAACAAAACACTGCCCGGTCCTGTACCATCCTCATGATCATTGTTATGCTTGAGCCCACTGTTGCAGCCACTGTGTCAGTCCATCTCATCGAAGGTCTTCCTCTTTTTCACTGACCTTGAAGATGTCTTTCTCTAGGGACTGATCCCTCCTGATAACATGCCCCGGTATATCTGTCTTAGTGTCAGAGGGAAATCACTGTTGCTGAGAATTAAAGCTATATAAGTGTTATTAGGGCTAAAACTCACCCTTCTCTTCAAGGTAAGGGATTATTTCACATCCTTAGAAGATTAACAGTTGGGCACTTATATTTCAAAGGGGAAAATTTCCTCCCCTTATTCTAATGCAGACTATTACAGTGGTAGTATATTAAACTGAGACAGAATTAAGCAACTGGTTGAAGCCCTGGGAGTGAATATCACTAACACAGAGCTGAATGATGTGTTTATGTTGGTTATTGCTGACACACAATTATTGGAGGAATGGAGAATATCATAAAATCGGTGCAACATTATTAGAAATCCTTGTTACCATTATATGCTCCTTTCTGATTTAGCTCCTGCGGTGGCTGCTGCTCATCTGCACAGAAAAGAGGCGTCATTTCACTACTAGAATCCACATACTTCACAGGTTTCAAAGCAGTGTGAGAAATGGTGGAGAAAGAAAGGGTTAGATTAGATAGATAAGGATGAAGCAACATGCAGTTATTTTAAGGTGTGAATCATCTTGTGACACCAGACCATTTTTACTCACTCAAGGGACTGAGTGGAATCTTTGGATGGGAGAGGCTCTGTTCAGGAATTACCACTTCCTTTTTGTTTGTCCCCATTATTACTGTTTGAGATCAAGATCGGTCTAGCATGGGATAATCTTGTCGTCACTGCTAAAATAAGCTGAAAATTACTTACTGGAAACATTGTTTTTTCCTCATTTCAGTTGTGAAATGCTGTAGTTGGGTTATAAATTTTGCAAAAGAGATTAGAAAGTCTCAACTTTTAAAAATTCTGTTGCATCCCTGAAAGGATTTGGGAAGGAAATTTGAAATAGAAGATTCCAATATCCCAAAATAAATGGAGACCAAATATAAGCTTGTTCAAAGTAAAGTGTCCAGCGATCTCCTTTTTTAATTTCTCTTTTCAATCTTTTCCCCCAATTATCAATCCTATTGCTTTTTTAATTAATTTATTAATTTATTTTCACTGCAGAGATAGGCATGTAAGGTGCTTGGCTCCTCTGCTTTCTCCCCACGTCACCCTACAGACTTTTGGTTCAACAAAAGCCCAGATTAGAAAAGAGCCTCTTGTCTCAGTTCACAGATTTCTCAGGGGGAGCTATTTTGTGTGATCCAGGTAAACATCTTCCCATTTTATAAATCAGGTCATACAAATGCATATTC